TTTTTTTTTTTTTTTTTTCTCTCTCTCTCTCTTTTTCTCTCTCTCTCTTCTTTCTGTTTAAATGGAAAGAGGTGAAGCTGTGGGGTGGAGGGAGGTGGTGTCAGAAGGAGGCTGTGGCGGAGCTGGTGTCGGGGAGCCCGTTCTCCTGCGTGTCCTGGGCCGAGGTGCTCGCCTGCCGCTGGGCCAGCGCCGAGCTCGAGTGTTTGCACTTGGGTGAACCGCACTGACAGCTGAAGAATTTGCCTTTGATGTCCCAGAACCTGTCCCCGTAGTCGAAGCTGCGAGAGAGAGACACGAGAGGGGTCAGGGAACTGCCACGGCTCCCGAAAATCCCGGCGGGGTTTGGCTTGGAGCAGCCTCAAGGATTGGTCTGTTCAGTGGGCAGGGACGCCTTTTATGAGAGCTCCAGCAGCCTGGCCTTGGACATTCCAGGGATCCAGAGCTCCAGCAGCCTGGCCTTGGACATTCCAGGGATCCAGAGCTCCAGCAGCCTGGCCTTGGACATTCCAGGGATCCAGAGCTCCAGCAGCCTGGCCTTGGACATTCCAGGGATCCAGGGGCAGCCCCAGCTCCTCTGGGCACCCTGTGCCAGGGCCTGCCCACCCTCACTGGAGATTTCTTCATTTATTTAATACAGGCTATCCCTGCCCTCTGGCACTGGGAGCCATTCCCTGTGTCCTGTCCCTCCATCCCTTGTCCCCAGTCCCTCTCCAGCTCCCCTGGAGTCCCTTTAGGCTCTGGAAGGGGCTCTGAGCTCTCCCTGGAGCCTGCTCTTCTCCAGGTGAGCACCCCCAGCTCTCCCAGCCTGGCTCCAGCCTCCTCTGGATCTCTCCAGGTGCTCCCTGTGCTGGTCCCAGGGCTGGGCCAGCTCTGCAGGTGGGGTCTCACCTGAGCACAGGGACAGAATCCCCTCCCCTGCTGCCCACACTGCTCAGCCCAGGGCATGACCAGGTTGAACCTGACCCTTTACAAACCTCAGGGCGATCCCAAAGGGCCCTGGGGACAGAGCCCTGGAGCAAAGGGATGGGGTGAGGCAGCAGGGGAGCAGCAGAGCTCTCCTGGGGCAGGGAGGGGACACGTACCCGATCTCCTCCCCAGCCTCTATGTGCCTGGTGCTGAAGAAGGCGATCCTGGGGAAGCGCAGGTCCTGGTGGGACATGAACACCCGCACGGGGATGAGGTTGGGCTCGCACAGGTGGTTGATGAAGCGGCTGATGTTGCCATAGAAACGGGCATCGATGCAGTAAACCTCTCCATCCTGGGGAGAAACGGGGCAGAGCTGGTTAGGGCTGGGCTTTATTGGGTTAAATAAATGATCAGCCTGTTGGTCCCCCCATTAACGCTCCTGAGAGCTCCAGGAACAGCCAGGGCAGGGCACTCGCTGTGGGCTTCAAAGGACTGAAAACACACACACACACACACTTCTATATTTAATTAATATTCAACAGTAGCCTGAAAAGAGAGTTTACTGCACGGCACTCTGACCCCCCACACACCCCAGGGGCTGGTTTTTAACACTGGCACACCAGTTCTCCCAGTCCAAGCACCAGTTTGGCACAATGGGGTTGATGTTCAGTGCAGACACTTTACAGGTACCAGCCCCTGGACAGGGGAACAGGCATCTGCTCTGTCCTCTAATTGAACATGACAGCTTGGAAACACAAAGCCAGAGCCTTGAGAAAACACAGGGTTTTGCAGATAAGAGTGAAAGTGAGAACACAGAAATTCTCTTTCCAGAGAGCAGTAATACTTTGTTTTTCTTGAAAATAAAAGAACCCCCCTCAGGGCTTTTTTATTCCAGTAGAGAATGACTGTGCAAAGCAGAGGCTTTAATTACAGGAGCTAATTTCAGTTGCAAAGAGGCCAAAAGCAAAAGGATCCATTAGTGGTGCTCCAAGTCCCTTTTGGACAAGCACCTCGGATCGTTAATGGATGAGCTGTGCCAGGGCACACTCGGGGGTGCAGGAGCCCAGGAAAAAATCCAAAACATCCCCAGCTCTGGGGGAGGCATCACCCCAAGGGGCCTGGAGCACACACACGGTGTCACCAGCTGTGATCTGATGAATCAGTGATTTCCCTCCCTCCATTTCACGCACAGGAACACCACAGTGGGGCAGGATGACACCCACAGCAGCACCTGGGACACTCCAGGATCACCTCCCAGGGGGCTGAGAGTGACAGCTCAAGGGACAAGGACATCACAAACAACAGCCCAACCACTCTCACCACAGCACAGGTCCATTCAAGCCATTCCTTTGGGACACACCAGGACCTCGAGGCCCCCCCAGGGTTGGGATTCCCAGCCTTGGCAGTGCCCCATCACTCTGGAGGACACAGGACCCGCTGGTTCTGCCCTGCCCTTCTCTGCCCAGCCTGGTGGGCAGCTTTAACCATCCCCCAGTGATTTGGTGCCTGCTTTTCTGCAGATGCTTGGTCTCCCCGTTTCCCTGAAGGATTTCCAGGGCCAGCACTGAGGTTCTCCCCAGGGCTGCCAGTCAGGGCTGAGCAAGAGGCAGGGCAGGGCCCAGGTGCCTCATAAACCAGGCTAAAATCCTTTTCAACTTCTTAATGACCCCCTGTTTTCACACCAGACTCATCATTTATCTTTCCTCAGCTCTTGAAATGGGTGTTGCTTTAAAAAAAAAAGAGAACAGAAAAAATAAAGTGAAGCTTTTTTGTCACAAGCTGATGACAGAAACAAGGCACAGAGTGTTTTACAGCCTTCCTTGGAAGCCACCCCACTCCTGCGAGTCCCCAGCTCACCTTTCCTCACTTCTCCTTTCCCAGGGGCAGTCTGAAGCCGTGGCCTCGCTGAAAACTTTGAGATTTTACTTTGCAAAGCAAAATTCCTGCCCTGAGAGCCCTCACAGAGCAGCGCAGGGGAACAAAGAGCAGAACAAGCCCCTGTGCCAGGGTGGCTGCTGGATGTTTTATGAGTGAACAGGGTTTGTTGGGGTGGTTTTTTTTAAATCTTTCAGCTCATCACCACTTTATGAAGAACTCAGAGAGCTGCCAATCACACAGGTGCCAGGCTGGGAGTACCAAAAGCTGGACAATTGAGCTCAGGATGCTCCAGAGGGTGTGGGCAGCACATGTTGGGTTTACCCAGCCCCAGCTCTGCCTTCAACCACGTTCCCACTAAAGCACAGCAGCCCTGCTCCCTGCAGGATTTTGCTGCAGATGGAGATGCAGCTCCTCTTTTGAGGAGCCAGGAGCTGGGCTTTGGGACAGGACAGCTGCAGACACTGTACCTTGTTGTCCAGGTCGAAGAGGTAGGAGTCCTCCTCGCGGACATCGGCCTCCGAGTCGGAGATGAGCTCCCCAACGTACCTGTGGGCACAGGGATGAGGTGATCACACCTTCAAACTCCTCTTTTTGGGGAGAGAGAAACACAGGGATGCAGCCCAGCCACAGATGGGCAACCACAGCCTCAGTGCTGGCCAGCCCCAAGACACCAAACTGAGCTCTGTTCACTTCCAGCAGTGAAAATCTGGCTCCAAACTCCAGGTTTTCTCTGGAAAAACCTCTTCAGAGCAACTCTTAAATAATATTTTATTATTTATAATTATTTATTTCATATAGTTATTTATAATTATTCATAATATTCTATTATAATATATTATATATAATATATAATATATAATATATATAATATATAATATAATATATGATATATAATATATGATATATAATATATAATATTATATATAATATATAATAATATAATATATATAATATAATATATAATATATAATATATAATATATAATATATAATATATAATCTGTAATATATAATATATAATATATAATATATAATATATAATGTATAATGTATAATATATAATATCATATATCATAGTATAATAGATATAACAGATATAATATACCATATAATATATAATTTATAATAATTATTATAATTATTTTATAATTACATAATAATAAATATTAAACAGTATTTAAAATTAAACTAATGACATTAAAACCCCTCTCATATTAAAAATCCATTTATTTTTTCCTGAGGGCTAAGCTTCCTTTTTGCAAATCTCTCTGCTGGCCAAGATCAACACACAAACTCCTGAAGTTCCTGGTCAGACTCAGGTTGTCCCACTGCAGTGCTCGTACTGTTCACATCCCAAAACAAAACATTTGTGTCTTCCCCTCATGTATTTCCCAGGATATTTTGAGCAATTTAGCTAATGAAGATAACACCCAGCAGTGAAACAGCTGGGTTATTGATGTGTGATGGGTTTGCAGGGGGGGATTGAGAAAGATTATTTTTAAAAGAAAAAAAAAAAGATAATTTTGATTCACTGCAGTGAATTGGCCAAGTGTTTCTTCAATATCCAGCCCTAAAATCCAGCAGAACCTGTTTCCACGATGGACACAAGTCCAGCCTTATTTAGAAGGTCTTCAGTCACTGAAGTATTGCAATGAAGGAAACACTTCCCAAACTATTTAATAAAGTACATACACCACTTCAAAGCCTCCAACCATGAGCTCTGATGACAGGTTTTGACATAAATCTGAACATTTCTGTGCCTAAGTACTTTATTGAGTCAGGGCCAAAACATGTGCTTAACCCCAAGTGCTTCATCATCCTGCTGAATCAGAGCTGTGCCACTGGAAAACCTCTGGAGAAGGCAGGACAAGCACAGGAATTTGCAGGGTCCCACATCTGTGGCAAACACGGGAGTTGAGCACATTTTGCAGCAAAACCCAAAGAGTTTTTCACCCATCACTTGTGTTTCAAAAAGGGGGAAGAGCTGAGAACAGATCCCAGCAGGACAGAGGGCGGTGGAGAAAGCTCCACACTGGGAGAAGGATGGACAGGGCAGGAAGTGGAGTCAGGAAACCTCTGGCTGAGGGCTGGGATCGATCATGATGGGCATGAAAACCTCTCCTGGAAGGGGAGCAAACCATGTGTGCCCTGCAGAAGTGCTGAGGATTTTGGGATGGTGGAAGTGGAACAATTCAATGTTGGATTTGGGAAGTGCTGGGGTTTTTGGGATGGTGGAAGTGGAACAATCCAGTGCAGGATTTGGGAAGTGCTGGGGGTTTTGGGATGGTGGAAGTGGCACAATTCAGTGCAGGATTTGGGAAGTGCTGGGGTTTTTGGGATGGTGGAAGTGGAACAATTCAATGTTGGATTTGGGGAGTGCTGGGGATTTTGGGATGGTGGAAGCTGCACAATTCAATGTTGGATTTGGGGAGTGCTGGGGTTTTTTAGGATGGTGGAAGCTGCCAATTCAGTGCAGGATTTGGGAAGTGCTGGGGATTTTGGGGTGGTGGAAGCTGCACAATTCAATGTTGGATTTGGGGAGTGCTGGGGATTTTGGGGTGGTAGAAGCTGCCCAACTTACTCGCACACGAAGGTTCCCAGAGGAATGTCCTGCATCGTCCGCACTCCCCAGCCCATCTTTTGGGTCCGGTAAAGCTGCAACCGAGTCCTGGGAAAGAGGAAGGGAGGAAATGAAGCCACACTGGTGGCAGCACTCCATGGAAAGAACGGATTTTCACAGAGAGATGAGCAAAAAGCCAGCACCTTCCATCACCACACGCTCCCAGAGGATTTTAATATTCACCCTCCCGTTCTCACCCTGCAGGGATGCTCCACTCCCACTGCTCCCAGCTGTGGGCAGATGCTGGCATGGAAACAGCCCAGGGACAAGGGACAGGTACCAGGGCTAGATGCTGTGTGTGATGATGATTTACAGAGGATATCAGAACGCCACCAGCAGCATTTCCTCCCCCTCCACACAGCCATGGGAGAAGCAGGGAAGGTGGAAGAGGATTTACAGCAGCGGAGCCATGCAGGGAGTGGTGCTGAAGGGGAAGGCAAGGAGCTCCCAGGGACTAAAGAACACCTTGAGCTAAGTGCTCTGACCCCTCTGCCCTCTGCCAAAGCCAGGGCATTCAGCAATTCCATCATATCCAGCTGCCTGGATGAAAGACAAGAAAGAAAAGCTGCAACTTGAGACTTCTTGGTATAATAGCTGCTCTGTGGAATTTTACTGATGGGGTTTATAGGCAGAGAAACAATCCTGTAAGTCATTCTGCCTCGTGCTCAGCCAGAACCTGAGTTAAGTGCAGGATGAACAGTCTCCAGGGCTAGGAAAAGCTTGCTCTATCCCTGAGGGAACCAAAACCCACTCTCAGCAACGCTGTTATCGGAATTAAGTGAAATCTGATGCTCACCTTAACTTCACCCTGTTGCTTTTCCCAGTACTTCTCTTCCCCCCACCCACTCCCTCCTGCACTGTCAGCTCAAACCAAGGGATGTCAGTTTTATCCTGTTTGCCCACAGCTTCACCAGGGCAAACCATGACCTCAGGGGAGTGATTGCTCTCTGAGAAACAAAGTCTAACACTGGGTTTGGGGCTTGGGGAAGCTCCCCCAGGTTTTGGTTTGTCCAGCAGAGCAAAGCCCGGCTCAGGTCTGAGCTCTGCGCTGGAGCCAACACCGGTGGCAGCGGGGCCGTGGCTCCGAGCTGAGCCTGCCAGCTGAGCTGGGCCAGCCTGCCAGCTGGATACGTGTGCTCTGCCAGGCAGAGGTAATTTGGAGCCAATCTGATCAAGAAAACACTGAAAACGGAGCAGCAGCACCCCTGTGGCAGCTGCAGCCCCAAGGCAGGAGCTTTCCCCTCTGCCTCCCCAGGGACCGTGAGCTCTGCCCAGCACCTGACCCCCCTTCCCAGCAGAGCTGCTCTCCCCAGCTCGTGGTTGGGTTCCCAACCCTTCCCATCTTTCAGAAAAAAACACTTCAGCAAGGCAAAAAAATGCCAAAGCAACAGCTCTAGCTGTGCAGCTCCTAAAGAAACACCCACGGACGCACCGGAGCTTGGCAGGGAAAACCAGGGAGAGGTAAAGTTCTGAGGAAACACATCCAGTTTCTTCCTTGCTTATTTTTAACACTGCAAAATGTCATTGAAACTACAAAGCTTGCAAAAAGAGTGTTGTCAGCACCACAAAGAAATTCAAAAAAGTCTTTTTTTTTTTTTTTTTTTTTCCAAGTGGGATCCCTTTGAACTTAGTGCAGTGGCAAACTCCACCAAAACCAAACCAAAACATTGGCATTTTTAGCCAGGCACCAAAATCCCAACGGTCTAAGTTGGAGCAGCGAGGCCAACAGGCATTCAGGTATCTAATTCAGGGGGAATCATGCCAAGAACTTGGAAATTTTAAGCAGCCAAGTCTGGGCATGCTGGCCTGTATTTCTAATCTAGACTGCTGGCTTACAAGATCTTCTGAATTCAGACTCTGCTGCTGTCGTGTCCTTCTCAGCTCCCCCCCTGAGACACTTGGGCTGTGCACGCAAACCCACAAGCCACTTGTATGTTTTACGGTCAGCTGATGAAAGAACACTGCAGTTCCCACCTGATGGTGCCATGGGCAGGGTGCAAATATTAACTGAGATGTTAATTGAGCTCATCAACCCACTGCTGCTTCATTCCCACCGGCAGCATGCAGGAACCCACTTGCATCCCACCAGCCCCAGCTTCTGTGCTGGGTTTTGTGGGATTATGGGGGAGCTGAGAGGCAGAAATCTGATGGCTTTGGGGTTGGTCCTGCCCAGGTCAGCTGTGTTTGCTCCTCCTGCTCACCTGAGGCCGTTCTGCACCACCCGGTTCCTGCAGGTTCTCCAGCACGAGCACGCGTGGTTGCACTCAAAGATCAGGGGGGGCTCAGCCATGTTGAACTCAGGCAGGAAGAGCTCAGGTTCTGCAGTGGTTTTGCACTACCCTGACAGCAGCACAGTCACCCACAGCTGACAAACAGCCAGAGAATTTGGATTTTTGCTGCCTGCTATCACCCTACACAGCATTAAAAAAAATGCCTCCCAGTGCTGTGCAGAAAACTGGTGTGCATCATCATTATTGCCATTTGCTGTGCTGGAGGGGAGAAGTGGATGCTTAGTCTGCCTCTGGAATAAAGCCTGAACTTGCAGAGTCCAAGGCCAGTTCTGTGAACCACACTACCTTCCCAAATAACGCTCCCAAAAAAAGCTACAATTCAATTATTTACCAACATACAGGACTAAGGAAGTGATGGATGCAATTTATCATATTTAACAAATGTGGCTTTTGAGGCTTGAGAGGTGTAATCACCTATTAATGTGTAAATAAATGGCTAGAAAGCCAAGGAAGATGCCAACACTCCCCCTGGGAGAAACCTGCAGAGATTCACAGAACTTCTGATCTTTGTAGCACCTACCCAAAGATGAATCTCAAAACCTCCCTGGAGGGTTGAAGCATTTACCCAAAACAAACCTGACTTTCTGACAGTGAAAAAAACCTTATCTTTACCTTCATCCAGAGGAATCACAACAAATAAAAGCAGATTAAAAAAAAATAAATTCTCTGTCTACTCTTCTCCCTTTGTTTACATCTTACAGCACTTCCCACGTTGCTCTGAAATGGAAGCTGATTTCATGCATGGATTATTAAATGCTCCCTATCACATGGGTGTAATTAATGGCTCAGTTGGCACGAGAGGAACACAAATAAATAACACGAGAAAAGCTGCCCTGAGCACACAGTTTGGATTATCACACATGTCTCAGAGCTGAGACTGGAACTTCAGGCATTTTAAGTGAAGAAGAAAGGAGCTGGAATTACAGAAGCAGGGAATGGTTTGGGTTGGAAGGGGCCTTAAAGCTCAGCTCCTTCCCTTCCATGGGCAGGGACATCTCCCACTAGACCAGGGTTGCTCCAAGCCCTGTCCAGCCTGGCTCTGAGCTGTGCAAGGAACTGAATTAGGCAAAATTCAGCTCCCAAGCCCTGGTGTGAGCCAGGAGGGGGCTGTGTGTCCTCACCTTGTCGTACCAGCAGCGCATGCTGAGCTGGCCACACATGCAGTTACTGGAGGAGCAGTCGTCTATACAGACACAATACTGCAAGAGAAACAAAGGGTTAATTCCACACCACCCACACAACTGAGACTGCAGCTGGTGACTGGGTCAGGAAACCACATCTCCTCCTCTTGCTGCAGCTTCTGGGTCAGAAGGATCACCAGCTCCACCGTTCCATGGCAGTTTTACTCCATTCTTTATTTCTGTGTGCAACGAGCACCGAAGGACTCTGCCTGGCAGGGAAGGATCTCATTCTGAGCCAGCCTCAGGAGAGGATGTTCCCCTGTTGTTAATCCTCCCCATGCCCTGTGAGCTGCTCTCCACACCTGAGGACAAGGAAAGCTCCAAGGGACACCAGAGTGTCACAGCCAAGACCTCGGCCTGGGCGCTGCAGTCCATGGGAAGGCAGCATGGGGAAGGTGTCCCAACAAACCCCCGACTCTCCTGCCTCAGAGGAGAGAAGAAGGATAAATGGGAGCTACATCAGCCAGCACCAGATGGCCAATGCTACAGCTAAAGCCTCAAAACTGAAAATGAAAATCCCATCTCGTACAACAAGAGCTGGAGGTGAGGCACTCAGCCTTAGCTGGAATTTGTTGGTGATATCAGGACATTCCCATCTGGAACTACAAACCTGTCCTGAGGAGCGCTGCACAGCCCAGAGCAGGACCCAAGCACGACCCCTCACCTGTAAATGAGTGATGTTCCTGTCAATGTCCATCGGGGAGGTGACACAGTTCTGTGACACATATTTGTAATTGCTGGGGCAGGGCTCGCTGTCCACGGAATTGACACAGGGAATGGGGATCCGCTCGTAACCCCGGGCAATGTCTCTGTCAGTGGAGAAAAAACTGTCACAGAAGGAAAGTCCCCCCAGACAAGGGGCCATTCAAATGCCATCCTGGGCCAGAATCACTGGCTTTGAGCGCTGAGCACTCCAAGACATTCAGATTAGAACAGAGCTCACGTTTTCCCACCCTGCCTTACAGATGGTTCTTTGTGCTTGTGAATATTTCCATTTGGAGGATGGATTTGCAAGCCATGGGCTGATTCAACATGGGCTTAGTTCTTGCTAAGCTCACACTGACCTTCACACCAGTTTAAGAAGCTGCACAGTTCTTTCTTAAGCCAGGCCCCTGTGCAAGGGCTCAACTTCATGACCCACAAGCAAAGCCAGCCCTATTCTCACCTGCTCACCACCTTGTCTATCTGGGCAGGCTTCTCAGAAGACGATTCTTTGAGAGTCTTGTTCATCTGTAGGGCCACCCAGACCTGAGAGTTAAGGCTGGAGCACTGGAGCGGGGTCTCACCCTCCTTGTTCTTTAAAGTGACATCCGAGCCACGGGAAAGAAAGAGACTGCAAAACAGCAAGGAAGGATAAGGATTCCCCAGGAGAAACCAGGCAAGGGGAAAACAAGCTGAATCACATCCTCCAGCCAGCCCTCAGGGGACGAGGAAGAATCTGTAGTAGTGAATAATCACCTGAGTTTTCTTTATTAAGCATGGTTCAGTGAATCCTTCTGACAGAAGCCACAGACTGGAGCTCTGGGCACCCATGAGAGCTCTGGGCAAACCTTGCCTTGCTTCAGGTACCCTGCTGGTACCAGCCTAACTTCAGACAGGCTTGAAACTCTCTCTGGCAGGGAAAGATATGGGGTGGGAAGAGTAGGCTGGAAATGGAAAAGTCCCACAGGAAACTGCCGGTGGACTTGGCCCTTGTTTATACTCACCAGCTTTTGGTGAGAACATGATGGCTTTATTCAGAGCAGGGATGAAGCAAAGGAAAAGCCCTGTTACCATGCTAGTTGTGGGGAAAAAAAGCTTTAATCAAGGAAGCCTGACACCTTCCTGCTGGGAAGCCCAGGCTGAGCACAGCCCCTCGGACTCCAGAACACACCGCATTTTCTGACCAGCTCTGGCAGCAGCTGGTACCTCACACACCCCACCCCTGGGAGAAAAAGAAGCCCTCCATCCCAATCCTGGCTGTGTGTAAAGGCCAAAGGCGTTTCAGAGGCTCTCCTGAGCCTGGCAGGCAGCACTGAGGGAGGCAGGGAGGGGGTGAGCAGGGCACTTACACCACACACTCGTAGCGGTTCTCTCGGGCCGCGATGTGCAGGGGCGAGTCCCCGTGGATGTTCACGGCGTGCAGGTCACACTTTGCTGCCAGCAGGATCTCAGCTATGTCAACACAGCCAGAAAAAGCAGCCCAGTGCAAACAAATGTTTTCCTCCTGGAGGGAAAAGAGAACAGAGTGGAGATTGTTTAAGACCCCGTGGCTTTGGGATGCCACCTTCCTTCAGCTCTGCACCTGCAGCGTTCATCCCCACCCTGCTCTGTCTGCCTGGGAATGCCAGGGTGGACAGGGAAACCTTAGAGCAGCCAAACAGGGAGTTCTCACTCCATCCAAGCACACCAAGGATGGGGAGGCTGCACACAAGGCAATCCATCACCTTCCCTACACACACACACACAGACAGCTCGTCTGTCTCCAAGCCACAAACCCATCTGGATCAATCCAGGAGAGGGGTGACAGACATGAACAAACATGCTGGAAAAGGCTGGAAGCTGAGTTTCCCCAGCCTCAACAGCCAAGAAAGCTACTGTGCCTCCTAGGGCCGCAAAATTAGGGAGAAAAAGAGCACAGCACGAAATTAAGGAGAAAAAGAGCACATAGGCTACGTGAAGGTGCCAAAAAGAGAACCAGGAGCCATGGGGTAAGCAATCAATCTGACTCCAGGCATCTCTTAAATACTGTATGTACTCATCTCTCACCAGCAGCACTGGAAATAGCTGAACACTCATCTTTTTGATGGAGATATTTTAAGGGATGATCCTGTTTTCTGTTACACTGCAATTTGCAGCACACGTCGATCCCTTCCCCATGACAGGCTCTAAAGACGTCGATGACAACAGTGAAATGATAGTAATGATCACCCAGCTATTCCCCTTTTTTCTTCTTTTTAAAGCAAAAACAAAGCTGCTGCTGGAGTGTTTGAGCTGTTACCACATAACTTAAGGTCCTGCCTTAAATAGGGAGTTATTGCCACACATCAGGGAAGGGGGAGACACTTTTCTACCCAGCTCCTGCTTCCCTTGACAGCATCATCTAGAAAAATCCCATACAATCTAGAGAAAACATCCACCCTGTGGGCTGCACCCACGTGCTGCAGCTCAGACAGGTCAAAGACTCCTGGAGAGGTGCTCTGCCTTGCACTGCTCCTGCCTGAAAAGCAGCATCATCACAATCAAAAGCATTTCTCTCAGAGCAGGATGTTTCCCAGCACGAGTGACATTTGTCCTGAAGCATATCCATTGGGACACCCCAGCTGCAGGTCCAGGATGGATGTGTGACACACACAGCTGTTAAGAGCAGGGTTTTCTTTCAAGCAAATTGTTGATTTGATGTTCATCATTAATGTGTGATCCTGAAGCTGTGACAGATCAAAGAGTGTGTTTTGTTCAGAGTCAGCAAGCAGATGTACAGCCCCAAAAGCCCCCTCTCACCTTGATTTTGTTTTTAGGAATAGGATTGGATCCAGACCTGCCTGGGAACTGGGAACTGTCTAAATGTGCTGGGTTTGGCAGGGGTAGAGTTAATCTTTCTCCCAGTGGCTGATCTGAACACAGGGGTGGTGACAGAGATGTTTTTACTGCTGCTGACACAGAGCCTGCTCTGGTCCTCCCCCCTCACTGGGGACATGGAGAGCTGGGAGGACACAGCAGGACAGGTGACCCTGACCAAAGGGACATTCCAGACCATCTGACACCAGCTCAGGATATCAAGTGGGGAAAGAAGGAGGAAGGGGGATGCTTGGAGTGATGGTTTTTGTCCTCCCAGGTCACTGTTGCAAGGGTGGGGCTGAACAGCTGCCCAGCTATGGGAAGCAGGGAATGAATTCCCTGTTTTGTGTGTTCTGTGGCTTTGGCTTTCCCTATTAAACTGTATCTCAACCCACAGGTCTTTTTCTACCTTTTACCCTTCTGATTCTCTCCCCTTTGGTGGGGAAGAGAGCCAGGGGCTGTGAGGGGCTTGGTGACTGGCTGGGGTTAAACCACTGGAACACAGAGAGGTTTGGTTTGGAAGAGAACTCAAAGTCATCCAGTGCCACTCCCTGCCATGGACAGGGACACCTTCCACTATTCCCAGGCTGCTCCAAACCTTGTCCAACCTGGCCCTGGACCCTGCCAGGAGTGGGGTGAGACACCACAGTGCAATATCCACAGAGACTCCAAGAAAAACAGGAGAAACATAGTATAAACAAAAAAAGAGGAGCTGTGCTGATACAATGACTCCCCTGGAGAAGGCTGGGAAAAAAAGCAGACAGTATCTCCTTTGTATCTTTTCTATTTCCTTGAAAACCCCTGGGAAAGCTGCTGGCACAGCCCCAGGGGGGTCCCACCGAGCTCCCTGGGACTCCCTGAGTGCATCCCACTGGAACAGGATTTATGGAGCTGAAGGGCAGAGCAGCTCCAGCCTGAGCTGCCAGCCTGGCCCTGCTCTGGACACATCAGAGCTTCCTGGCAGCGATGCCCAGGAAAAGCCAGGCTTGGACAGCTGCTGGCAGAGTGCCCAGCCCCACAAACACGAGTTCATTCTCCTCAAAAGGCACACAGGGTGCCCCTAACCCACACCCAGAGTCACTGGCCTGGGACATGGTAAGTCTGGATTAAAGGGGATCTGCCTGGTGCAGTGTCCAGTGGCAGCACAGAGGGCCCAGAGGGATGGGAACCAGAGCTTGAATTCCTCCAGCCTCCTCCCAGGCTGTGACAGAGCAGATGGAGGGAAAGGACATCCCACAAGCTGCCAAACCTCTTCCCAAAACGCAGGAAAACTCTCTCCCTCTGAGAGAACTCTCTTCACTCACACTGTGGCAAGGGACTGAGCCCAAAATCCGTCACCTTGGGCGTGTCTGGGGTTTAAAGAGAGACTGGAATTTCGGCAGGGGATTGCAGAGGAGCCTTACGTTGTCACGGATGTTGATGTCCGAGCCCTTGGCCAGCAGCAGCTTCACCAGCTCGATGTGCTTGTACTCCGTGGCCCAGATCATCGGCGTCCAGCCACCGTCATCCTGGGCAGGGACAGCAAGGGGTGACACAGGGGACAGACACAGCCTCCTGCTGCCCTCCCCTGTCTCTCCTTGCTCCCCTTCTGCTGCAGGTCCTGCAGAGCCCAGCCTGACTGGGAGCAGCACGCCTGAGCCAGCCAGAGTTTATTCCAGCCCAGCAGGCTGGCTCTGCATCCCCAGCTTGTTCAAGCTGTCCAGAAAGCACAAGGAACACCCAGGGTGTGTAAAAGGCCTTAGAGAAACTCCCTGAGAAGCCTGGGGGACCTGCCCTTGCCCCAGGTGCAGCTCTGTCTCACCCCAGGGCAACGGGCAAACCCCACAAGTGCCAGGCTCAGCCCATCCCACACCATTGCCCGTGATCCCCCCACCAGGAAAAGCACAGGGGACACACCCTGGAGCAACAGGCTCTACAAGGAGAAACTGCAAATCTGCTGAGGGAGTCCCTGAGCTGGGCAAAGCAGCTCCTGGGCCAGGGAAGGTCTCACCTGGCAGTTGACATCCATCTTCCCGTTGGAGAGCAGGTACTGCACCACGTCATAGTGCCCCTTCTTGGCTGCCAAGTGCAGACACGTGGAGCCCTCGGCATCCTGCACACAACCACACAACAAACCCTCAGCCACGCTCAGGAACAGCAGAGAAGCTCCCAGATGGAGCAGAGGACTCCAAAAGTCTCCACCCCACTGCCAGGAGCCTGTTGGGAGGCCAGGGCAAGGACAGTTAGCAGAGGAAGGATGTGGGAGTAGAGATGTAATGACAAGATTTATTTTCCCTGAAATTAAGCCATATTTAGCAGGGGGGTGGAAAAGAATAAAAAAGAAGAAATAAAACCAGGAAAGAAGGCAGTGCAAGTCCTGCAAGAGAGCAGGAGAGCACTAAGCAGAGCCTGGGGGATTCACACCAAAGAGGTGATACCTGCACAGAGAAGGAGGCTGAGAGTGCAAAAGGCTTTGCAAAGCCTTGGGAAGGTACCAGCCCCAAACCTTGGCAGTGATGCCCCCTTCTCCAACCTTCTCCCTGTGTGCTGGAGAGCCAAAGGGAAGCAGAAATCCCTTACACAGACAAAGTTTGCACTTTACACCAGGAAAACTTCTTTGTCTCGGCTTGAAATGCTCCATTTCTCAATTTTTATTTTTTTTTCTGGATTTTGTTAGGCCTTATCCCAGCACCTGGCAGCAGGGCCCAGGGGTGTGGTGTCTCTCTCCAGAGAGATCAGGCCCCCAGCCTGCCCACAGCCATCTGCCCAGACAGGAGATAAAAAACAACCCCAAGGTTGAAAGGAAAAATGCCTTTGGGAGCTGGGAATACAAGGCCTGGAGGAGATGGACAGGCTGTGAGTCACGATGGAGATGCTCCCACCCTCACACCAAAGATCTCTCTGGCTGCAGCCTGATTTTTATCAGACATTTATATCCCAAGAGCTGAGCACAGAGCAAGGCCCAGAGAGCAGGAAATCAGGAGGAGGAAGCAAAAAACTGAAAACCAAATGACTCCTTCCAGCTAAATCCCTGGAAGCAACGCTGGAGGTGAGAGGTTTGGGATGGAGCTGATGGGATGCAGGGTGAGGGAGCAACTCTCTGAGCAAGGAGGGGACATCTCAGGTCAGGAATAGCACCATGAGGGCTCCTTGGGACACAGAAAGAGCTTCTCCACCCCCATAAGTGCCTGCTCCAGCTGAATAATTCCACAGCCTTCCCCTTGGATTGGTAAGAAGCAAGTGCAGCTCCTCAGCCCTGGGAGAACAGGGAGATCTTATTGTAAAGTTTCTTCTGGTTTAGGGTGGGGCTTTTCCATCCTGGTAACAGGACCATCCTCTTCTCCCTGGGGGCTGGGGAGCCTCCATCCTGCAGTGCCAGGGCTCTGCACACCTGGCCCAGGTAAGGGCTGCATCTCCCAGCTGCTTCCAAACCAGTGCTGCTGCTTTCAAACAGAGGCCTGAGTTGGTGCAAGAAGCTAATTAATGTAATAAACTAGTCTAGAGCTCAGATGTGATCTGAGGCTCCTGATTTGCTTTTGGAAGCTCAAAATTTATCTCCTTCCTTTGACCTTCAGAGGCACCAACTCCCCCTCTTTTTTTTTCCACAAGAATAAATCAGGTGAGGGATGTCTGGGCTGCCCCAAGATGAACCCACATGTACCTGTCCTGTCCTTTTCCCCTTCCCAGCTCAGAACCAGACTCCCAAGGATGCATTTAGGGTCTGGATTGGGCAGCACCTGATATCTTGTGCTGCCAGTTCCTTCCCAAACCCAGCCAAGAGCAGCAGGTTGTGACAATGAGTTCGCATGGGGAGGGTTCCTGCGCTCCAAATAGCATCTGATTTATGGGACTAATAAATGATCTGTGTATTTTCCAAGATGGCAAAGCAACCAGAGCACGTTAAAGGCAAAGAGACAGCTGCATTTTATTGTTTTGATTTAAATTAAGGGGTAGAGTTTAAAGATGGAGTTCGATTTTGCCACTGCGGCATGACTGCAAGAATCCACACACCAGTCCTTTGGAAAGGAAAGCTTCCTCTGTCATTTTTCCTGGCTTGGCAAGCACCTAATTACCAGCCCATTTTAAAACATCACCCCAAAACTATCATTATTAGAGAGTTTATTAAAAATCATTATTACTCTGTAGAGACAGAGAAGGGAACGCAGAAATCCAACTCCACTGTGATGGATTTGTGACACTAAGAATTATGAAATCAAATCTCCCTGACATTTGGTGCCACAACCTAAAGGGACAAGTGACAACACTTGCCCCAAACAGCTCAAGGCCAGCAGAAAAATGAGATTATGACACCTCCAGCCTTTACCCCAAGACAAACCAGTCCATTTCTCCTCAACCTGGGCACTTCCACCTAAAACTTCGAGGAAGAAATATTGGACAGAGGCTTCCTCAGGAGAAAAAGGTAAGGAATAAACTGCTACCTTGGGATCTACGAGTGCTCCAGCCTTGATCAGGTATTTCACAGTTTCCAGGTGGTTGTTTTCTGCTGCTTCCATCAGTGGGGTCCTCTGGTCCTCGGAGCAGGTGTCAATGTTAGCACCAGCCTGTTGGGAGGCCAGGGCAAGGACAAGGACAATTAGCAGAGGAAGGATGTGGGAGTAATAATTTAATAACAAGATTTAATACCAAAATTTAGCCATATCAAGCAGGAAAAAAAAAAAAAAAAAAAAGAATAAAAAAGAAGAAATAAAGCCAGGAAAGAAGGCAGTGCAAATCCACCTGCTCTGGAAACAGTACACGCTGCCTGCCCCCTCTCCTGCCTTCCCCAGCCAGGAAGGAACTGTAAGGAAGCCAACAGCTGGTATTAAATAACTCCTGTTATTAATAGATTTTGTACTCCTACTTTCTAGATATTGTTTGTGTAACAATTTGGAAAAGTCAGCCCCCTCCTTTTTCCAGCAGCTTTGTTTTCCCTGGTCTATCATTTAGGCTACAACAACCAGCTCTTCTCAATGTCACAAGCAGTAGGAATAACCCCCTGATTGCAACAGAGGCAGGAGCTGCAAAAAATATCCTGGGGATTGGCTAAATATTCCTGTGGAAGTCAATGGCACCACTTCCACAGAGGTCTCTGAGCATCTGTTCAGCTCAGCCTCACTCTTTTCCAAACCATGGCTGTGTCAGGTTATCCTGCCTGCTTTAGCCCTTGGGCTGAGCTCAGGAACCACCCAAAACTTCAACCCAGAATGTCCCAGACACAGCTCTTGGCAGGTGTGTGTGAGGCTCAGACCTGTTCACAGCAGCTGACTCAGGTTCACCTGGCACAAGGAGTTGTTTTCAGGTGCCTCCCACTGAATTCCTCTCTTTTGACTCTTTTTTCCCCAGCCAGAGCTATTTAAACCAGAGCAGAGGAGAGGCATCTCCAGGCATTTCAAGTGGAACAAGCTGGGGCCATTCCCAGCCAAAGACTGGGCTGCTGCAGAAGCCAGACCTCAGGGAGAGACAAGATGAAGCACTTTGGAAACAAACCAAGTCTACTGATAATTAAATTGTTTGTAATATCTCACAAGTTTTACTCCTTTTCCTCATTCCACTGTCTTCACATGCAGTAATTTCAGGGAGAGCAGCCAGGAAGGCCCATTGCTGCCCTCAAACAGTACCTGAAGGCCTCCAATTCCAGCTGCTGAAATGCACCACCCAGCAGGATCTTTTCCAAGGGCCAGTCACTGCTGCCTTCTCAACAGCCCTTTAAGGTTTCCCAGTCCCACAGGGTAAGCAAAACACACTTCCAGTCACTCCAGACCAAGTACACCAGTACAAAAAAGAAAAAACTACAACTTCTTCCATCCTTCTTTTTCTTCCTCACATCGTTCTGGAGCAGGCTCAACAACATCCCTATGCCTTTGACCATTCTTCCCTCAGCTAGAATCCAAATCTCAGCCCACAAACCAAACTTGCACCTTCCCTTCACTCCTTTCCACGTGTGAGACATTTATGCTGCAGAGGAAAAATCCTGCTGGAGCTCCTCAGGCTTTGACAGAAGGGAAGACAGGGCCTTCATCACCAAGAGCAACCTGGCTTGGAGATCAAATCCAAGCACATCTGGCACATCTGGCACATCTGGCAGTGCCCAGCTCTGGCTGTGCTTAGGCACAGATCCCCACCTGCCCCACAGTGCCCTGCACCAAATCTTCCCCTGCTCCTTGCCTGGGGAACAGCCCAGCAGGACAATTCCAGCTGTGCCCTCCAAGCCCTCCCCTTCCTCTGCCCCACTCCTCCCTCAGCAAACCCTGGGCTGGAGGAGGTTTCTCTACAGGAGGGATTTTTCCACTGCAGATTTCCAGGTGGGGCAGACCAAAGCCCAGAACAAATGGTTTGTACAGAGGGCTGGAAGTGCAGACAGACCTGAATGAGCATATGGCAGATGTCCACGTGGCCAGACTCGGCGGCAGCATGGAGAGGGGTTCTCTTACTCTGATGCTCCATTTTAAAATTAGGGTCAATTCCATCCACTGCAAAACAGAGCAGAGACACTTTCAACCACGGTTCAGAGATTGAAGTGTAACAGGAGAATCGTGTCTCAGCTAAAGGCTTTTAAAGGATGGGTTCCCAGCCCATCCTCAGCCCTGCTCATGTCTCACTGCACATTTCACCAAAAAGCTCTCAGGGCAGTCCCCTGCACATTCAATATGCTGCAGCCCTCAAACCCAGAGCTACAAACACCACAGGATTCAAAACCTTTAAAAGGCATTACTGTCTCTCCAGAGGCCACATCCCTCAGCTGCACAACTCATCTCAAAAACAACAAACACCACACAAGGATTAAAAAAAAGGAAAAAAAAAACGTTGCTTGGTTTAAAGCAACCCAGAAATTGGGAACAGCAAAGAGTTGGTACCACCTGGCCTCTGTCTCACCACTGTTAACTGCAATTAATGTCAGTGATCCTTGTGATCCTGCAAATACAGAGCTGCAACATGGATGGAATTTCTCCACACAGCCTCAGGATCTGGCCAGAGATTCTCACAGCTGTGCAGAGACTGACAGATGATGCTGACAGCCAGACAAAGATGTCTGGGCATGATAACATGTTGTGTATGATGAGGCCGTAGTTAAATATCAATGAATAACATTTCTGTGCTATTGAAGACAGGAACAATGGAGCAAACACTCGCTAGACAAAAAAAAAAAGGAGGAACTGATAAAGGGCAAGAACAGAAAGCATCCAAAAATGTACAGCAAAGTACTGGAGTGGAAAGGAAGCATCCTGAGGAAACATTGTGTCCTTCGGAGGTGGAAATTCCTGGGGAATATTGGATGCTAAAAACAAGCTCAGCAGCTCAGAGGCACCTGGTGATAGGCAACTCTGTACCCCAAAAGAAACCCCACGGATTGAAGGCTCTTCCTTTTTGCTTTCTTGCTGATGGGTTTTGTCTCAAGCTGACTCCCATCTTTTCCCTCTCCATGGGATGCAAATATCTCCTCCACGCACGGAGAGGGGACAGGAAAAACCACATGGAGGTCATTTTGGGGACACAGCCTGGATAAAACCAGGCTCAAATGCAGTCACAAGTGGGGAACAGTGCACACTTCCCTGAGAGATGAAGCCCTTTCCAGTGACACACCACTCTGCTCCCGGGGGCACTGGGAAGATGATGCAGTGCCGTGCTGGGAAGTGCTGGGAGTGCTGCCAGAGGGGCCCTGGCCTGGGAAGGAGGCACCTACCCAACATCAGCAGGACCTTCTGCAGCTCCCCTTGCCTGGCAGAGAAGTACAGCTGCTTCGGGTGGAACCGCAGCTTCTTGGGCCTGCAGGAGCGGGGAGAGAGAACCCAGGGATGAGCAGCCAGGAATGTCACAGGAATGTCACAGGAATGTCACAGGAATGTCACAGGAATGTGGCAGGGGGAGTTCTGCCCCTCTGCCCCTGTGCTCAGGTGAGACCCCACCTGCAGAGCTGCCTGCAAATCTGGGATCCCCAACAGGAGGAGCGAATCCAGAGGAGGCCATGGAGCTGCTCCCAGGGCTGGAGCCCCTCTGCCCTGGAGCCAGGCTGGGAGAGCTGGGGGTGCTCACCCAGAGGAAAGAAGGCTCCAGGGAGAGCTCAGAGCCCCTTCCAGAGCCTAAAGGGGCTCCAATAAAGCTGGAGAGGGACTTGGGACAAGGGATTGAGGAACAGGACACAGGGAATGGCTTCAAACTGAAAGACAGGAAATTTAGGATTAAATATATGAAAGAAATCCTTCCCTGGCAGGGTGGGCAGGCCCTGGCACAGGGTGCCCAGAGAAGCTGTGGCTGCCCCTGGATCCCTGGCAGTGCCCAAGGCCAGGCTGGACAGGGCTGGGAGCAGCCTGGGATGGTGGGAGGTGTCCCTGCCATGGCTGGGGTGGCACTGGATGGGTTTTAACATCAGTTCTAGCCCAAACCTTCTGTGATTCTCTGCTCCAGAAAAACAAGTCTCCAGGAGGTTTTAAACCTTCCATCCAGCTCCAGCCAGTCCTGTTCCAGGGAGGGCTGGATCTGCTCAGTGCTGCTCAACAACAGGTTCTAGGTCTCACTGCTGTGAACAGGAGCTCCCAGAAGTTACAGCTGCAGCTGAAGAGCCAGTGAAAAACTAAATCCTCCAGAGAAATCAATAAAACATTTAGAGCTGTAACAGCTCTCCCAAATCTGTTGGGGATGACTAATGAGTGAAGTGAACAAAAAAAGCTCTGAGTTGGACCAAAATCCAGAAAAGCTAAATCTCATTTTCTCTAGGCTTGAGCAACTTTGCTGGGAACTGGAGTGACCCAATGGTCCTTTTCTTACTTTTCAGAGTCCAGGGCAATCAGGGCACTTTCCAGAGTTTCTTTCACTGGTCCCTGGGTCAAGCTAGTAGTAGGCTTTGGAAAAACTGAAGACCCAGCGATGTCAAAGCCTTCAGCAGCCGAACTTTCTGGCTTGTCTTCCTCTGACAACCTCGTCCCAGTGCCACTGAAGAGGAAAAATGAGAGACAGCCAAATCACAACCATTAAAAATACACAATGTCTCCCATGCCAAAAAAGGAAAGCAAATGCATTTTAAATACAGATAAGTGTAACTGAAATCGAAACCCAAACCAATTTATTTTACAGCTTTTTCGGTAAGAACTTGTCCCAGAAAGGAATTGCACTGCCCTCTGACTACATCTTGAGGTTCTCTGTGCTACAGGAGACCCAGGCACATGGGGCAAGTCTTAAAGCCACCCAGACAAGGCCAGATGGGATGGGAATTCAGAGCCCAGCTCAGCACAGGGCTGCTCTGATTTGTGTTTTCCTCCTCCGTTTGCACTTGTGGGTGCGAGTCAGGAGCTGCAGATGGGAATCGCTGTCCCTTAGCAAACCTGGCAGCATCAGCTAATTCCACTGTTATTCCATTCCTAACAATAAGAGAGAGGAATGGTTTCATTCCTGAACCTCCAGAGCCTCTCCCTCAGCTCTGGGGCAGCTCTGGGACAGAACACCCCTGCAGATTCCCACAGCTGAGCCAGCCTGGGCTCAGGAGGAGCCCAAACCAAAGCCTGGTCTGGACAGGAGCTTTGAGATCCCCGCACTGTGCTCACCTCCCCGTGGTGGTGTCGGCCCTGCCCTCCAGAGCCGCGGGTTTCTGCTGCTCGTAGCTCAGGGACACCGTGGAGGTGGTGTCGGCCTTGGCTATCGTCACCTCCTTGGCCTTGGAGGCCTCCTCCCCGCAGTGAGGGCAGTAGCTGGTGTCGTTCACCTGCGAGGCACAGCTCTTGTGGAAGCGGTGGGAGATGCTGCTCTCGGGCTGACACTCCATGAAAGTGCCCTTAAAAAACCACAGAGAAGGAATTCAGCCCCGGCTCGGGCCGTGCCTCGCCCCTTCACACGCTCCATGCCACTCCTCTCACCACCTCTCTCGGCCCTGCTGCGTCCAGTACAGTAAAGCAAGCACTGCCACTTCTTTAGAAGAGAACAAAACCAAGGTAAAGGGGGAAAAACTCACTTGGTTAAGGACTGCAAAGCAAGATTTTGAACTGTGCTTGGGAAACAGAACAAACAAGTCCCGATTTCCAGCTCTTCCCTCTAACGCTTGAAGTTCTCGCTTCTGTCTCTAGAAGTGCCAGTGCACTGTAGGGACGCCCCCACAACTGGAAAAGAAAACTTCAGACCTGTGCTGAGCCAGCATTAAAACTACCTGAAACACAGCTGTACACAAACCATTCAAGAACCTGCATGAATCTGTCACTGACCCCCACTCTAACTCAAATTATGTGACTCTTCTGCCTGGACCAGCCTAATTAACCCAAACAAACTGATTGCTCATGCAACAAACTGCACAATTCCTCTTCAAATTATTCTCCCTTTCTAGCAAAGTCCCTGCAGCTGCTGTGCAGGACCCCAGACCTCCCTGCCTGTGGTGTCAGTGCTGCCTGAAGCTCTGCTGTGCTCTGGATGGCACAGACAAACACCCCAGGTTCACCTCTGTGCACCAGCACACAGCACTGAGAGATGGAAGAGAGTGCAAGGAAAGGCCAGTCAAACCCCCTCTTCTCCTGAGTTCAGTCCTCCCAAGCCATCTAATTAACTCTATTTCAGCTTTGCAAAATGCCTTGAAGGGTTTTGAGGATTTTATCTTCTAAATGATCTTTGACCTAGCAAGAAAACCCAGGATGGCTCCATTTGCTACAATAATGCTTGAGACTACTGCAGCATCTTCCCTTGAGTCATCCTGGAAAATACCAGCGTCACACAACTAAGCCTCATCATCACTCCTGAGGCCTCAGGTGCTGCCTTTCAGCTTTATCCACAGGGAAAGCAGGACACTGACCACTAAAGGACTGCACCAAGTCCCTTCAAAGCCTCGGTGGCAGAGGTGGAAGAAGCAACAGGTCACAGACTGGTTTGAGCTGGAAGGGATCTTAAATCTATTTCTTCCTAATTTTTAATCTTCCTAATAACTAACCTAATTGAGATCTCCAACACTGCCTTGCTCCAGTGCCATCACTCAGGTTCCCCAGCCTGAGGGGACACAGAGGTGGGGGCACAGGTTCATTTACAAACCAAGCTATGACATTTTTTGGATGTGATTGATCTGTACACAGAAAGAAAAACAACAAACCCTCGATCCAAAGAAATTCCAAAGGCAAGACTTCCAGCATGTGAAATCCCTTTGGCAACACCCCCTGGGGGTCTCCAGGAAGATAAAGGTGATGATTTCAGCTACCCTCAGACACATTCCTATTGAAAACACCTCCTGATGTGCTGTGGAACGAGGTGGGGCTGATGCCAGGAAGTCAGGGAAACCCTTTTAGGGATCATCTCCACCTTCAGCTTCCAGCTATTGCAACAGGTACCCCCTTCCCTAGATCGAGAGCACGGACTTACTGCAGTGCAAAAGTATCCACAGCCAGGGCAACACTGGTGTTTCACCATCCTCCCTCTATGGTCCTCACACAGCACCAAAAGCTGGACTTTGTTAGACGGGCGCATCAGTTCATACTTAACCACACTGTTTGTGCATCGGCCCAGCTGGAACAGGAGAAATTAAAGGAAATGAAATTACTGGAGACCACAACACTCCCTGTGCTTGTGCAGAGGAAGGTTTTGCACACTGCCTCGAGGAGCCCTGGCTTTTCCACAGGAATTCAGCTGTGTGCCAGAGAGCATTAGCAGTGCAGCAGGAAGCTGTGAAAGCTGCTCTCAGGAAGGAATGCATCATTTACTAACTAACATGCATGTGCACCCCGAGTCATTTGTTCCTTGCAACGACAACGAAATCATAACTGGAAATAGGCAACAGCCAAGCAGCAGAAGGGGCAGTCCCAGGGGCCTGACTCACACAACACACACTCTCCTCTTGCCAGGAAGAGCGGGTGTCAGTGACCGAGAGAACGAGACCATACGCGCTAAATCTTGTTACTGCTCAAAACTCCGAGTCACAGGAAGATAAAGGGAAAAATAATTGCTCCTCATTGCCAGGGAAGTTATCGTCTGTACTGGTTCCAGCACTGGCCCCTGCCCAGACCACAGGGATGGAGAGCCAGGCTTTCATGAGAGCTCAGCTAAAGTCATGTTTGGAGCAGGTTTTCCAAAGGATTTCACCGATCTATGGCTCTGGGCTTAAAAATCAAGAGAATCGCAGAATCATGGAATGGTTTGGGTAGGAGGGACCTCAAAGCTTATCCACTTCCACCCCCTGCCATGGGCAGGGACACCTTCCACTATCCCAGGTTGTTTCAGCCTGGCCTTGGACATTTCCAGGGATCCAGGGGCAGCCCCAGCTGCTCTGGGCACCCTGTGCCAGGGCCTGCCCACCCTGCCAGGGAACAATTCCTGCCCAATCTTCACCTGTCCTCCTTCAGCTTAAAGCCATTTTTCCTATCACTCCTTCTCATGCTCCACCTTGTCCTGTTTCTGGCAGCAGGTTCCATAACTGGGGTTCCCTGCTCCCAGCCAGTGTTCCTTGCTCTGCTGCACCAGGAGGGATCAGCACCTCCCAAAGCCACCACACTGTCCCAGCTGTCACCTGCCAGCGTGACACGACACTCTTTGGGTCCTGTTTCAAGTTCCCCTTGGTAATAATCTTGCTTTCCCCAAATACCTGGCAAAGGAGATTTATAAACTAGGAATATAAAGGTGAAAGGCTGCTCCAAGGAAGGGTCCCTTGGAGGGAAGGTGAAGAATTGATTGTCTTCATGACAGAGTCAGTCAGGGACTCAAACTGTCAGTGCCACAAACTGTCCCTCTGTTCCAGCCAAGGATTTGCCACTTTTCCTCAACAAAACTAAACTTTCTCTCCTATTGTTTAAAATTCCACTCCTGCAGAAGCAACGTCCCTGTGAGAATAGAGAATGGATTTTAACCTAGGCTCATCATTCATCTCCAATTCAGCTGTCCCAAATTCCAGCTGCAAAGACTTGCTGTGGTTGGGACACCTTGGCCAGACTGGTCCCTGTCACCACCCGACCCCAGGGGCTGCAGGGGTGGCACAAGGGGACCAAGGATCTTCTCCTGAGGAGGAATTTTACTGAGCTGAGGAAATCCCACTGACACGTGGAAAGTTGCATTACCTGTGTGAGGAAGACCCTGCACTGTTATGCCACGCTTTATTATTTGTTAGTAACTCTAAAAGAAGTTCAGCATGATTAATTGCTATTTTCCAACCATTAGAGAGTGCAGCAGGGTGCTCATAACTATTTATAACACTCTCCAAGGACAGGACAGTCTGGAGAAGCCACTATTCACACATCTAATTCCTCTAACATCTCTGAGTCACTTATTCCATTTTTAAAAAGAATCTAGCATAAAGCATGGCCTCTGCTATTCCTCCCTGTGATTTATCCAGGGACAGAACTGTCAACTCACCATAGCCAGGAGCAGGAATTCTTTCACACACCCTGTGTTTGTTTAGAAACCCTGGGGTCCCCCCTCTCTCTGATGAGTCTCCCAGGACATTTTCTCCTTAATGAATCAATTTTGCCATTCTTTGGAAATTCCTCTCTCTACAGGTACCAGCACATACTAACAGAGGTAGAGCTGGTCTACAAACCTCATTATCCCCTTGTCCCTCCATCCACCCTTCTGGGATCCCAGAGGAGAGCTAGGGATATTCTCACTCCCAGCATGAGTGAGGCTGAAGCTGAGAAGAAACCCAAATGTCTCCCAGTAAAAGGAGAATCCACCAAGAGCATTCCTGTCCTGCAGTTCTCACTTCCCAGATTTTGGAATGGAGTCACTTCTGCTGCTTCCTTCCACACTTCTGGAACCAGCAGAGCCCAACCAGCCCAGCTGTGCCCGAGGGCATGGAGTGCAATCCCTGTCAGGCAGTCAGACCTGGGGCTGCAGAGCTGCTGGGAAGCTTTGGGACAGAAAGAGAGGAGGAGAGAAGAAGGCTGGGGCAGCAGAGGCCATGCCAAGCTCCTGAACTCAACACCTGGCCACAGAAAGGTTTGCAGCAGTTCCTTCGTAGTCAAGGGAAACCGGCTCCAATCCTTGATGGGATTTCTCCCTCTGGTGCAGGTTCCTGTATTTGAGCCCATTTGGCCTGAAGTGTGAATGTCACATCACATCCAGCCACACAGGCCAGGACAGGCCCAGGAGACCCACCCAGAGCCTCTCCCAGTGCAGACACAGCACCTGCTCCCTTCCCAGTGTCCTGGTCCCAGTGCTGTGACAGGCACAGAGTGCTGGAGCCCCCGGCTGAGCGAGGGGGACACCGGCCCTGCCATTCCTCACACCAGTGGGTCCCAGTCTAGCAGAGCCCCTGTGTGACCCCACACGTGCTCCTGGCACAGCTTTTCACTCTTTCTGGCCTCGTCCTCAGCAGGAAAGGCTGTGGGAAGCTAAAGGACAGGCTCCTACCTCGTTATCCACGCTCTCCGTGGCCATGCACTGGTTGTTGGCTAACGTGGTGATCTCTCTGCTTTTGGGGGTTTCCATTCGACAGCTACACAGGGGAACCTCCTGGAGACCATCTTCCATTGCTTCAGGGCCATTGGAGAGACCTGGGGCACGGAAAAACAGTGAATTAACTCAAGTTCTCTTCCAGGAGAAAAGATTCAGTCCATCAACACCAGCCACGTCCTGAAATGCTCTCCAGGCTTTAGCACCACCCTGTGAAAGACCCTTTTACACCAGCTGGAGTCTGCAAAAGCCTCCTGTACTTTTCCAAGTCCAGCCACACTCAGCTGACTGTGCTGAAATCAAGAGTGATAAGTTAAATTCAGTTTATTCTGAGAAAAACCTCAAAAAGGCAAAGCAATGAGGTGCAGATTTTTATCAGCCTCTCTCCCCTCCCCACAACACTGGGATCTGGCACCAGGAAATTTGGAGGAAACCACCCAGAGCTGGAAATTTGAATAGGCAGTGGAGTGATAAATAGAGATGATCAAGAAAGCACAAACTCCTATTTGCAAAGGCTTATTACACAGATGGGAAAACAAAATTCCTGGGACTGTTTGGTGTCAGCCAAGCAAGAATTATTTATTTTGGGAAGAGAATAAACCAGGGAAGAGAAAGCAGCAAGATGCTCCAATGTTCTTGTTCCTCATCTCATCTCATACACTGAACATTTACAAACCTATGGAAAGGTGGTTGAGGGCTTTTGAGAAGGTCACTGTGGGAATATTCCTGTGGCTCCTCTGGACTGAAATCTTTCACTGGGTTACCCAAGATTGCCAAACACTGGCCTTGTGACAACGGGGTTGATTCTAATCCTACCCTGCTCTTCCAGTCCTGCACCAAACCATCTCTGCAATGCTTGCAACACAGAATTTTTGGGCTGGTTCACCCTGAAGCATCCCAAGCTTTCCCTACCCACTGCTATGGGATTGACTCACACTGAGAAGGAAGCTTGCTGCTGTTTTTCAAGCTTTTGAATGGGAATGGAGAGTTATCTTGCTGTGAGGTTTTGCAGATTTAATTCATCCCTGGAGGAGATTCCTCTTCAGCTGCCCTGGCAATGGCAGCCTTCCCCCAGAGCACCCTGCCCGTGGCTCTGACCCCTCCAGCTGAGCACAAGCCCCTCTCATCCCATCAGGAATTCCCAACAAGCTGCAAGGCCAAGCCTAGCAAAGGGATATTTCAAGACACACAAGGCCAGGGAAAGTCCTCGTTGTTTTCATGTAAAATCCCATCAAGATCTTAAAGGTTTCAGAGTTTTTTCTCTGGGAGCACAAATCACAAAGCTCATTCCTCGCCTTCTGTGCTGTCACTTCCCTAATCTGTTTGACATCCAGAGGCTCTGGTGAAAGCATCCCTCATCCCTCCTGACCCTCCCTTGGTGGGGAAGGCTCCCACCCTCTCTTTGATGTGCCTCTATCAAAGGAGACACACAACCTTTGAGTGTCAGTGGGGATGGATCCAGCCAGGGGATGGATCAGAGGAGAGCTCAGCACTGGGAGCAGCAGCTGGGGCTCAGCACCCAGGGCCCAGCACCAGTCCCTCCTTCCCCCAGGGCTGAACGAGCCCTTCCTGAGGGGACAGCAGCAGCAGTTCTGGGGGGATGCTGAATCAGAACATTTTAGGGAGTGAAGGGGAGCTGCTGAGTGGGACAGGAGGGCTGGGGCAGTACCTTGCACCCTTGCTGAGAGTATTCCCGAGCTAACGTGCCTCACTGGAACTGGGATCCCATCTACAGCCTCATTCCATCCCAGCACCCTCCCTATCCTCACCCACATGCCCAGCCTCACCCCCATTCCAAATCCATCCCCATTTCTATCCCAACCCCATACCTATCCTCATGCTCACCCCCAGCCCAGACCCATTTCCATCTCCTCCTCATCCTCAGCCCCATTCCCATTCCTATTCCAGACCTATCTCTTTCTTCATCCCAAGCAGTCCCGTCCCCATCATCATCCTCTTTCCCATCCCAGACACATGCCTATTTCATCCTCATCTTTCCTACCCTCATCCTCATGCCCAACGCAGCCCCATATCTATCCCCATCCCATCCCATCCCATCCCATCCCATCCCATCCCAACCCCAATCCCAATCCCAATCCCAATCCCAATCCNCCAACCCCATCCCCATCCCCATCCCCATCCCCAGCACTCACCTCCCACTGGTGAGGAGAGGATCCCCTTCACCCGGAGATCCAGGGAATCCAGGGACACCTCCATGTACTCCATGCTGTTCTCCTGGCCAGGGCCCTCCCTGCTGCCCAGCGAGGGTTTGTAGGTCTCAGCACCTGGATGGGAACAGGGGATGTGCACAGACCCCACAGGGAAAGGCACCCCGAGCCAGGCCGGGGCTGTGCCGGCTCCCTGTGGGATCCATGAGCACACAGCCCACGGAATGTGCCAACACCACATGGTCTGGGCACTGAGCTCCCACCTCCACCCAGGCAGGGAACAAGAGAAGGGAATAAACGAGATGAGTTCCACCTCTGCAAGAGCACAAGGAAGGGATGAAGGGGGGCTTGAGCACGGCCCCAAACCTGCTGCCCTACAGGGCTCGGGTCCACGCTGGCCAGGCAGAGCCAGCTGCACCTCAGGAGGAGGATGAGACAGGTGACACCCAGTTTAGGGGCAGGGGAAACAAAAAAGCCAAATTCTGCCTCTAAGTGAACAGAGGGAAGAGATTGTGGGAGAGTCCTCAGAACCTGGGAGGGAATTGAGAGCGTCTTCACTCCTTGGCTTCACTTTCTCTCCTGTTTGCTTCTGCCTGGCCTACAGAGTCTGGTTACCCTTTCAGAGCAGCTCCCAGCTTTACTCAAGGGGCAGAAAACCAGTCTGCATCTGAAATTAAGGATTAGGTATTTGCTGTGACAGGGATCAAGGGTCCCCATGGTGTCCTGGGAGGAAGAGGAGGGAGCCAGGTGAGTGACAGAGCCCAGGCACAGAGCAGGGGCTGAAAAATGGTCAATTCACTCAGAAGTACCAAAAAGCTGCTGGTACAAATACGACATTTTTCCGTTCCAGAAGAATAAAAATGAAACCCTTTGGTGGCAGTGGATGTATGAAACCTTAGCAATGAGGCTGAAGACAGCACCCACGTTTGAGATGGACCTGAGGCAGCTCCTTCCAAACATCATGGTCCTTCCACAAGGAGCAAAGCCAACCTGCACGAGCATCCACACAATGGAGAACCATTCCAGGGTGGTTCTTCCTTTCCTTTCTGCATCTAAACGTGTTCCCTTGAGCTCATGGGACAGGAATCCACATGGACACACATCACAGGATCCCAGTTTGGGATGGAAGGGACCTCAAAGCTCATCCCATCCCACCCCTGCCATGGCAGGGACACCTCCCACTATCCCAGGCTGCTCCCAGCCCTGTCCAGCCTGGCCTTGGGCACTGCCAGGGGTCCAGGGACAGCCCCAGCTGCTCTGGGAATTCTATTCCAGGGCTTGCCCACCCTGCCAGGGAACAATTCCTCCTGTACAGATAATATCAACCTCCCATCTTTCAGTCTGAAGCCATTCCCCCTTGCCCTCTATCTCCTCTTCCTCTTCCTCCAAGAGGCCACACTAAACCTTTTTTTTGGGATACCCTAAAATGAAGGGATTTGTGAACAAAATTCCTCCAGCATTCCAAGGACAGAGTCAGGTGTTCTGCTGCCACAGTGACAGCAACAGCTCCTGCCAGGGTGGGAAAACTTCACCCAGGCTCATCACACAGCCTGGGGAAGGAAGAGCGAGCCCTGCAGACTTGCAGGCCCCTCAGGTCCATCCCCCTGCAGCTGGAGGCTCACTGGGGTGGAATTAAGGAACAAAACCCATTAATTACCTAGCACACCGCCTTGTTTCTTTTTATTCCTCCGCCTCCTCTTGCGGGTGGGTTTCAGCCATGGACTGTCCGTCTTCCCTTTCCTCTTCAGCAGCTTCTTCTTGACGCTGGACTCCGAGCTCTGAGGAAGCAGAGAGGCCACGTGCACGTCAGGCATGGTGGCACCAGGGTCCCTCTGTGGAACAGCCCTCACCCAGCTCGGCTTGTGTGAGAAGAGCCAGGGCTTTGAAACCAAGGGGTGCTAAGATGCCTTTATAGCACAGAAAAGGAAACTCAGGCACACGTGTGGGTGGATTTCCTGTCAGTTCAGCAGGGCAAGGCTGCACTTTCTCTTCCACGGAGGGCCCCACGCCACGCTCGTGAGCGGCACTGCAAGCTGGCAGGAGCGTTCAGACTTCCAGCTTCTCCCAAAAAATAACTGTAGGATCACAAGAATATCCTGAGCTGGAAGGGACCCAACAAACATCACCAGCTCCTGGTGCTGCACAAACACCTCTCACCCTGTGCCTCAGAGGGTTGTCCCAATGCTTCTTGAACTCTGGCAGTTGGGTTTTCTAACTAAAATATTCGTATTTCTCCACAAAAAAAAACCATTTTGCATTTGAAGAGCCACCTGGCAGGGCTGGAGTGAACCCAGGGGAACTGAACTCCACAGCAGCAGAGCAGCCCCCTCTCTGAGCTGGGCACAGGGCAGCACAAACCAATCATGCAGCAAATACTCAGCCACACGTATGAATCTCAACAGACTTTGGGTTTTGGTTGAAAAAAATTCAGTTGTCTGGGGTGGGGTTTCCAAGTCAACATCAGAACAGGAATCAGGCACCCCAACCCTGCCAGGGTTTAACGCATCAATCATAAAATTCATGTTCAGACTGAAACTGCTGGCTCCTGATGCTTATCCAGCTGCCAGCAAAGCCTTGGAAAAACCTCCTGGTAGCACCACCAGCAGCTGGATCAGGCCCTACCTCCAGGGGCAGCTGTGCCAGGCCCTGCTCCCCCAGTGAGGGAACACGTGGAGCTGAGCCCTGGCTCTCCAGGCTGCCCCAAAAGCCCCGAGTGTGGGCTCAGCCTTTTCCCCAGCCCCACAGCCCCTGCTCCTCCCCAGCTCCTGGGCTGTCAGAGCACGGGGAACAAAACCCTAAAGAGCTTCAGTGAGTCACTTGGTGTGTTTGGGGTGCATGATTCTACCTCCAGCTCAAAACATCAAGAATTTTCTCCAGGTGATTGAAGAGTTGGGGTGCCTTAAATGCTGGCTCCTCAACTTGAGAGGCCGTGGAAAGACAGTTTTTTAAGGAAAGGGGAGGGAGGTGGACAATCAATGAAGAATTTAAATTAAAAACTCATCGGTTTCTCTTCATCAACCATCTGAAAATAAAAAGTAGAAATCCCCAGCAGCTGCTGGAAGTCTTGACCTGGTGCTGTACGACCAAGGTTCCAGGGAGTGTCTGTCTGTCTGTCTGTCTGTCTGAGTGCTACTTGTCTCCCTGGTGGGAGCTGCTCATCAGGAACAGTGGATTTAGGCTGTGGGCTGGACCAGTGGACCTGGGAACAACCCCACCCCAGCAGAACTTCAGGCTCCTACCCCGTGCCAACTGCACATCTGAGGAACTCAAGCACCCTTAAACACCTCTGCTAACATTCAAATGATTAAAAGCAGTCAACACCTTGTTGAAAACAACAAAAGCCCATTAGTTAGCATCAGAAAGCAATTAATTGTGCCACGGATCAGGGTTAAGCACCTTGTGGAAAACAATACTCGGTGTGTGGGCGGTTTCAGAGAATGAGTTTTGTCAAGGAGACTTTGAAACTGCACAGCTTTGGCTTTGCTCTATCTCTCTCTTCTGGCAGCAGTGCAAAGGGGAAAAATTATTATCAACAGGCCACGGGCTGAAAAACACATTTAGCAGCCCAGCTTACCAAGTCAGACTCGTCTCCATCCTCCTCCTCCTCCCCAGATTCTACAGACTCCTGCTCCTCCTCAGACTCGCCGTCATCCATCTGCAGCCACCATTTACCCAAGAACAGAATGGGTCAGTCAGGTCAGGGATCCCAAAACAGCATCCCCCACCATCCTGGGCATCCCAAAACAGAGCATCCCCCACCATCCTGGGCATCCCAAAACAGAGCATCCCCCACCATCCTGGGCATCCCAAAACAGAGCATCCCCCACCATCCTGCTGTGCCCCACACACATCAGAGCACCCCCAGCCCCAAGCTGCACATGCACTGAGCTCAGTGAGTTCCAATCACATCATGGAACATCTGTGGGGATGGTAGAGGGAGGAAAAAAAAAAAAATTCTACTCCAGAATAAAGTTTTCTGACTAAATTTCAACTTCTTTGATAATCTCAAACCAGCCTCATGCCTGTACTGTGTATCAAAACCGGGGGAAAAAAAGCACAAGATTATTTTAGTGCTTTCCCAAGCAGGATTGGGAAGATGTCTCCTATTGGTTCAGGGAATCCCAGAACTACACATGGGGGCGTTCTGCAGAGTGGATCCCAGAATTGTGTAGGGCTGGAACTGGAGGAGGTGGGGAGACCCTCACAGGTACAAGGGGAAGGAGAAAATGTTCACCAAAGAGCCTCTCTGCCATTGCTGATCCTTCTGTCATCTTGCAGGTGAACAAAAACCCTAGGAATTGCTTCAGTGCTACCCCTGATAGCCCAGCAGAGTCCCTCAGGACACAGGGATCCTGCTCAGGGCACAGGAATCACCTTCCTGGCGTTGTCTGCGTCGGACGCGCTGTCCTTGGAGGTCCTGTTGTCATCCCCAGGGAACACGGCCGCCTGATCTGCTCCATGATCATCCTCCTCTTCCAGCTCATCCGAGTCCTCCTCTTCAGAGTCCACATCCAGGCTTTCCCCGTTCACGTGAGGGCTGCCATCCCCCAGCTCCTTGTCACTCTGCAAGTCCCCCAAGCACACAGGACACAAAGACAACATCAGTTCCTGGGACAGAGCAGCTGGATCCGTGCCAGATTCTCCTCTAAAGCTGGTTCTGTGTCCCTCCAGAGCTCCTGCCATGTGTCACCTCACCCTGTCGGACCCCAGGGACCACAGGGAGTCACTCCAGACTCACGTGGTTGCACATGAGGGAGGAGAAGCCCATTCCAACATGGAGGGGCAGCTCCACCAGGGATGCAGGAAGGTGGAAAGGGAAGTGGAGTGGAAAGGGAAATTATATCACATTGGGATATTCATATCACTCCTTGAAATCCTAGCACTGTTCTTGAATTCTAAGACCAAAACTTCAGGGCACAGGTCACAGAAAAAGCAGAATTACATCAGGAGTGAGTCCATATCTAAACTTTTATAAGCAACCACATGTTTTTCTGTACAGCCTCAAGCAGCAGCACGAGACCTTGAGGACCAAAACAAAAAGGAGAACGCCTGAAATCTCTCCACTTGTCCACTTGCACAGAAGGGGAACATTCATTGGAAAAAGTTTGTTTTGAAGTTGGTATCTGAACAGGCAGTCTGGAGCAGCCTGGACCAGGAAGATGCTGCCCGAGGGAAGATGGACACTCAGAAGGGAAGATGTTGATCCCTGCACCTCCACATGGGCTTGGTGTCCAAAAAAAGGGACAAGCAAGTGACAACAAACATGTGCAGTGGGCTCAGTGCTGCCCTTACCTTGGCACCCACAGAGGAATGAGTAATGCTCTTAAACATCTCTATCATTGTTCTCTGTTTTAACACTTTGGTCTTTTTCTTGGGAACCAGGCTATAGGTTCCCATTCTCCGTTTTTTCTTCCGAGATACTGCAGCAGCTGGAAGAGAGAAGCAGAAGGAACCCAAAGTTTGCTCAGGAATGAGAAGAAGGGATAGAGACATGGGGCTGCACTGGAGAGGGACTTTGGACAAAGCCTGGAGGGACAGGAGCCAGGGAATGGCTTCCAGTGCCAGAGGGCAGAGCTGGATGGGATATTCACAGGGTGCCCAGAGCAGCTGGGGCTGCCCCTGGATCCCTGGCAGTGCCCAAGGCCAGGCTGGACAGGGCTGGGAGCAGCCTGGGATGGTGGGAGGTGTCCCTGCCATGGCAGGGGTGGGATCTGAAAGGTCCCTTCCATCCCAAACCTTCTGTGATTCTATGAAATCACACCTGAGGGCACAACCTGAGCAAACTTCCCACTCCAACTGATTTATTTTCAAGTCAAGCAGAAGATGACACACACGGATGTGCAGGCACACAAACTCTGCCAGGGCTGCAGAGCTTCCCAAACCCTGAGTGCCCTCTGCACACTCCTTCTGGCCCCTCCATCAGCACACACAGCATCAAATCCTTAAATTAACCTGCATTTGGCAGCACTGCTGATGTTGTAGGAGGCTGAATGGAATCCAATCGCTCAAATTGAGACTGCAAGGCCAACAATACTGACTGACAATGGAAGCAATCTGACAATAACCGAAGAACACACAGGGAAAAGGCACCTTACATAAAGAGCTGTTTGTCATTTAACCTCATTTCACACCTACTATGGAAGTCTGTTTGATTCCTTTCACTCCTTTGATTGGGTCTTAATTTGTTAAGTCTCCCTCTTGGCCTTCTAATCAACCCAGACATCACAGCTCCCTGCCTGCTGCTGTCTCTGCTGACTGCACAGCAGAAGGATGCTTGGTGCAGGCTCTTTTAGGAACAGCCAGCTTCAGCACCACTGTTATTGTTTGCACTTGCACAGCCTGTTCCTTGAAAACATTTCTTTTGTCTTCCACGTAATGAAATTTCACCAGAATTTATGAAGAGACCACTAAAAAATTCTGTGAACCCAATTAATTTTATTTATAAGGCTGTAATTCTTGGTAAGCAGCTGTGGAGATATTCAAAGCCCTACAGAACTGACAGAAACCTCTTCAGAACATCCCAGAGGAAAAAAGGGATCAAAGTGTCTCCTCTAAGAAAAGCTTTTAGCACAGGCAGGGAAGGGAAACCTGAGTGGCAAAAAGGTATTACCAGAGGTTTTAATCCTTGTTAATCTCCTCATCTCCCTCTCAGCCCCACACACACAGGTTTGGGAGGTGGGATTCCAACATTCCAACCCTTCCCTTTTCACCTGTCTGCGACTTGGTGGTGGCCACATAGCTCTGGTTCTGAGGTAGTGACTGGTGAAGGCCCGGGAGAGAGGGCAACGACAACGGCTTCACAAAGTCCAGCATGTTCTCAAACTCCTTCTCCTTGGATTCCTTCTGATCTCTGATGTCTCTCCCGTCTTTGGGGTCTTTACTTGCATGCTGGAAAAACAAAAGGCGGTTAAATTGAGTTTCTGCATTGAGTCATTTTAAAAAATTAGGAAATTAATTTAATTGCTTTCCCTTGACCAAAATGACTTTCGGCTGAAGGCAGGACCACGTTCCCAGCAGGAGCACACAGCTCCTCCTCCAGCACGTCAGGGGGCTTTGCCTAAACCCCAGCCTGGCTGAGGTGAGCCCCCCTGGGCTGAAGGCTCTGCAGGTGACCTCGCAGGGGTCATGACAAGGAGCAGACCTTGTTCACACAGCTCTGGGTGGCCCTGGAGAGGAGGAACCAACTCAACCAAAGCACCTATTCCCTGGAACACACCCCCAGCACGCTCAGTAACGCTCTTGCTGAGCTGTTTTAGAGGACAGGCAGCAGAGGAAAGGGATTTTTTTTCCTTTTGGACACCATTTGGCACCACTGAGCCTCAGCAAAGGCTCCCCCTCTAGCCCAGCACACAACAAACACAGCCCAAGCAGCTCTTTCCTTGGCATTGAGGTGCACCTACAGAGAGATGTCCAAGCTTCCCTTAACCCACGTATTCCCACTCCAGCTGCTGCTGTTCAAGCCCCAGGCAGGCCCCAGGCTCCCACTGCAAACCAAGGGATTTTGTAGCTGTTCCTGGAGTCCCTCCCAGGCAGCACAGCCATTCACCCCTGCTCTGATCTGAGCTTGTACCAAATCCTGCACCTCTGCTTAGGAAAAAAGAGTTCCTACAGCTCCACAGAGAATCACTGAGGTTGGACAAGACCTTTAAGGTCACCAAGTCCAACCATTAACCCAGCAGTGTCTAGTCCACCACTCAGCCATGTTCCTGAGCCTCATTTCTCAGCTTTTGATGTCACCTCAATGCTTTCCTCCTCTAATTTAGGAAACAATCCCCTTCCTGAGCATCTAACTCCATTTTATGTACCCTAAAAGCCTCAGACAGAGAGGTCCAGACTGTGTTTGCGTTTCCTTTTTCCATCTGTGTTTATTCTTTAAACAGTCATGGCTTGGTTTAATGGTGCTTTTATTCCTGGGCCTTTTGTGTCAAGTGTGGCAAAGGGAAGCCAAGGTCAGGGCAAGGCCCCTTAGTCCAGCTCACTGAAACATTTTCCTGTTACAGCCCAGCAAGGAGGTACCTGGTGAGAAAAGGAAACACATGGAGGAACATGAAACAAAGCCCCTGCTTGTCCTTCTCTCCCACAGCGTCAACAGACACCGGGGTGAGAGCTGCCTCTGCTGTGACATTTTACACTGGATTTGCCCTCTGATTTATCCCACTGCATCCAGCTGTACAGCAGACAGGTCTGGCAGCAAAACAGGAGCACGAGCAGCAGAACACAAGGAAAGCTTGGGAGAATTAGGATTCTTCAGCCTGGAAAAGAGAAGGCTCTGGGGAGACCCCCATTGTGGCCTTCCAGAGCCTGAAGGAGCAACGAGAGAGAGAGACCCTTCACAAGGGCACAGAGTGCCAGGAATGGCTTCACACTGGAAAAGAGGAGGGATGGATGGGATCTTGGGCAGGAATTGTTCCCTGGCAGGGTGGGCAGGGCCTGGCACAGGGTGCCCAGAGCAGCTGGGGCTGCCCCTGGATCCCTGGCAGTGCCCAAGGCCAGGCTGCACATTGGGACAGTGGCAGGTGTCCCTGCCATGGCAGGGCTGGGATGAGATGAGATTTAAGTTCCTTCCCAACCCAAACTTTCCACAACTCTAAGGGGTTTAAGCACTGCTCCACTCACAGGAAAACTCTTCTTAAGGGACTTGAGAAGCAACAGCCAAAAAACCCAACCAGAAAGAGGAACCCAGGCGGAAGCAAGGCCGGAATAAAAAGCAGGAAGCAATAAAAGCACTCAGGTTCAGCCAGACACCCCCAGCCACTGCTCTCCAGCAATGTGACCTTGGGAACAAACCAGGAACAGCCTGATTCCCCTAATTAGGCTGTGCCACGTGTGTGGTGCTGGCAGAGCCAGGCCCAGCAAAGCTCTAATGATAATCAGAAATGACCCACAGCAAAAGGCCAAAGTGCCAATGATTCCTGCATCAAGCCCATAACTTATGGCTCAATTGCCACAGCTTTTCTAAAAGGGCAGCAAGTCTTGGATTAACGATTTCAAAGACGACAAATCCACCACAGCCTTTGATATGTTGTTCTAATGCTTAATTGCTCTCACTGTCAAATAATTAAATGCATTATGGCTTTTGCAACTAAATTAAAAAGCCCTGTCTCATCAGAACCTCACACTCCCAGGAGATTCTTATGGACTATGACCAACTTCTTTTTTTTAAAACTTTCTTTTCAATAATTTTAATAGAATGAGCAAACTGAGTGGCCATAGGATCATTTTCTGGACCTTGGATCACTCCTGGGTCTGCTCCCAGTTGTTCTACCCCTTAAAAAATGCACGTCAGGAGTGCAGGGCACAGCATGCCAAGAATAGTCTCAACAATACTATTTATACCTCTTAAAAGTCCTGAGTTTATAGATCTAAAGGTTAACAGTAACTCTTGGTTACACAATTATTCTGAGAATTCCCAAGTCCCCTGAAATATCCAGTGCTTTCCATTTCTAACTTAAATTTAGAAAAAATGAGCTTGGGGCAGGCAGATCTGACACAAGTATAAACAAGGGCTGCATTTTGTGTCCTTTAAGTGCAGGTTTTTGTAACTGGTCTCTGATAAACGTTGCTGTTACTCCCAAACACCAAGAATTAACACTCAGGCCATGCCAGACTGCTTGGAAGAATACAATCCAATTTTTAAGTTGAAAAGTATTATGTTATTAGCTTGGGGTTTTTCTCTCCCTCTGTAATTACAACGCAGAAATAAATTTAAAATCTTCAACAGGCTGCACAACAACTGCTAAATGTGACTTTTCCATGGCAAATTCTGCTAAAAGTTTTTTTTAAATCAAATTAAGTCTTGTGAGATAAAGATTTACTTGGATGCATATGCAGCAATGGCAAAAAAAAACCCCCCAAGAATTCCCAGAAAGGGGTGAAGAGAATTCTCCTGTGTATAAAAATATTACATCTGAGGATTGCAATGAAAAGGATCAGCACAAATTTTAAAGTCAGTTTTCTCACCACCTTTCCTTGTTCTCAGCTACACAGAACAGTTACATCATTGCTGCTCTTATTAAACAGGTTTTAAATCAGAGTTTGAGAGAACGACTGAGAGCAGAACCCCATGCAAAGGAAACTCCAGGATGCAGTTTGAGCTCCCTGTGGGCCACTGGAGGCCAAAAAAAAGGGCTACAAATGAGAGAGAAAAAGAAACTGCAACACCAACATCTTCATTTCTTGCAGCTTCTCATGTGGTATCAGCTCATCCTATCCCCATTATCATCACCCCCATCAGACCTTGCCCTTTTGCTTTGTTTCCTGCACATGGGAGGGTCAGAGCTTGCTGAGCAATCCCAGACCCCTGCAATCCCCTGGCTGCCACCTGCCTGGCCCCAAGAGGTGGGCACAGGGTGTTCTCTAGGCCAGAGGCTCCTGCAGAGCAGCCCCAGCCCAGGCCAGCACAGCAGCACCTGTGTGCACACACAAAGGAAGCAGTTTAAAAGCTTTGGGATCAGGTATTTAACAGCAATGCTACTTAAAACCAACATAAGCAGAGTATCTCCTGCTCCAAGCTCTTCCTCCCTGCTCACACTGTCTCCCCCCAGTTCAACTGGCACCTGCCACTTTGGGGACAACATTGTGAATCAGGCCAAAACACTCATTTAAAGGATTTTTGCACTATTTGCTGACCCAGTCCTCTGCACAGCATAAAGAAAATATCACCAGAGACACACACCCCAAACTGCAGCCTTGTGGTCACCAAGGAAAGGAAACACAGCTTGGGATTCCCAATCCATCCATCTGCTCCTCCTGCCACCAAAGGTAACTCTGGGATGCCCTCACTACCTTTATCACCCTTTATCCCTTCTGTTTTACTGAAGTTAAGCTCAGAAACTGTGGTTCCCAAGCAGGAGGAGCCTTCTCCAAGCACAGGGGACACATACAGACACACACTTGCCTTTCAGTCTGCTGCCTGGCCCTGGAAACTTTTGGGTTCTTAACAGGGCTGTAAAATGGATTAGAAGTGAAAGAAAGATTCTTCCAAAAGGGTAATGCTTGTGTTCCTGCTCTATTCAGAAGGGGAGCAGAAATGATGCTGTCAACAACTCTTCCGAGGTCTCTGTTCAAAAACCACCTTAACATGCGACAACATCAATTAAAATTGTCACCTGTTTCAGATTCAGCTTCGATCCCAATTCAGGAAGCAACTCCTAAACAGAGAAAAAGCTGGTTAAATTGGTGAGAAAATTCTCTTCTTCCTTTCAGAGACCAATTCACATGTGCAGGAAAAGGTTACCAAGGTCCCCTGACAGCTATTGGATTACAGAAAACAATTTTTTGGCCCCAGTGGGTTTCTGCAGGAGCCAGGGGAAAACAAATGTTCACACTTTGCAGGCAGCAAAATACCTTCCTCCTCTCCTCCTCCTGGGCAGAACCAAGTTTCACCAAGAAAACAACAGTGCCCTAAAAAATATTAGCCAAGCAAATTATTGTGTCCTGTAACATCAGCTCCTGGGTGATTTCCACAATTTATTTCCCAGGATACAGCACCTGATTTCATGGAGGTTTTGAAGGGGATAAGGTGTGAAAGTTGGTGCAGGAAAAGCTCCTGAGCTGAGGAGCCTCCTCTAAGCAGCTCAACAAAGGAATAATGGGGATAGAAAAATGACAGCTAGCAAGGACTCTGCTGCTCCAAAGAAAACAGCATGTAAATTCCAGAGACAACGGGGAAAATGAGACAGCAATTATCAGGAAGGCTGAACACAACAGATGTTTTATTGTCTTGCAGAACTGAGATCAAATCTTGGGTTCCCATTCAGCTGCAGAAGCTTGAGCAGAGACCATGGGAACGGCCTCTTCTCACCACCCTTCCTGGGAATGTTGCTTCTCTCCCTATTTTAAGCCCAAGACAAATGGCCAGAGGAGCTGAGGACAGGCTTTGTACTTTC